TCCTCCTCCTCCTCCTCCTCCTCCTCCTCCTGTTTCCCAGAGCAACTGGACTGTCTTTTCCTTGAGAAACAAGAAGAAAATGTTTTGCTTCTCATCCAAGAAGCTTCATCGGTTTTGGAAGGATGGTGGGGACTATGGAGGGATGTTTCCCAGAGCTTTTAAAAAAAAACCCTTAGCCTGACTAACAGTTCTTGCATGCTTCTTCCAATGCCACTTTCCTTCTCTCTCTGTAATTGCACCCTTTTCGAACCATGTCCACACTGAATGGCCCTGAAAAGCCCAGCTTTTCTGTCCACAAAGACCAAACCAGGGGGCTTCACCTTCTCCGGAGCATTTCCTAGTCATCCGTTTCTCCGGCGGGCGTAAGACTTTCGCCTCTTGTCTTTTCTCTCCTTCCCCAGAGCGTGCAACATGAAAACACCTACCGCAACCCCATTGCAAAATACTGCTACGGGGAGTTTCCCCCAGATCTTCTGTCCGTGTGAAAGTGCTCGAGAAACTGACAACTCTTACAGTGAGAGTTGCCACACGGCAGAGAGAGAGAGAGAACGTGGCAACTGGCTGGTTGGATTCCTTCGGCAGCCTCCAAACCTCACCTTCTGAATTGTTTAGCCTGCTGCCCTGTCCCCACAGCTGCGATGTGGAGCAAAATGGGTGGAAATCTACAAATAGCTGGATTCAAAGATGTGCATCGGGCTCAGGTGAAATTTGGACATAAGACTTTTCAGTTTCTAATCCATCTCAGTCACGTGGGACCACGGGTAGATGGAAGAAGCCATCAGAAGAGCCAAGATTGCAAGCGGGCGTTGGAAATTTGGAAATTTTTTTATTTAAGCAATGAGAAGATACTTGGGTTGGTGTGGTGGCCTAGAGGTGGCGCTCTCACCTCACATTCAGCAGGTTGTGAGTTCGATCCTAGGTAAGAGGCAGATATTTCTTTCTCTGGGCACAATGAGAATCTATTTGCTGAATAAAACTCCGCATTGGCGACAGGGAAGGGCATCAGGCCATTAAAACACTCTGCTAGCCCCATTCAGTTGCCCAGAACCCGCCCCGCAGGTTGAAAGAAGAGGATGAATGAGAACATATTTCTATTAGACCTACAGGTTTTTGTGAATCCTGCACAATACTTCTAAAGCAGGGGTCGGCAACCTTAAACACTCAAAGGAGCCACAAAGATCCTAACCCGACTCTCCCCTGTTCACATCTTGAGCCAACCGGAAGTCCGGTTCCCCCACCATAGAGACTCCTCCTAGCGCGGCATCCTTTTTCCTCTACCTGTCCTAACCAAAAGCCCTCTCAATTGTGGAGCTGACCAGGAAACCCGCTCCTTTCCATAGAGTTTCCTCCTGGTATGATGTGCTTTCCCCCTTCCAACTGGAAGCACCTCTTAAAATTGTGGCGCAGACCAGCGACAGGGAGCCACAGCAGAGGGATGAAAGAGCCACATGCAGCTCCAGAGCTGCGGATTGCTGACCCCTCTTTTAAGGTAAACACAGCAAAGCACTAACATGTCAGGCTGGGGAATTCTGGGAATTGAAGTCCACAAGTCATACAGTGGCCAAAAGTTGGAGATCCCAGGCTTAACTGCCCCGTCTGTAGGCTCCTCGTCTTTCCAGATGTGCCACATTCTCCATGACCAACCTCTGGGTTCTTTCAAAGTTTCAGTCTGGGAAAAGGATAGAAGAGGAGTTGAGGAGCGAGGCACCATGTTCTTGATTCGAATATCCCAGAACAGGGGTCTAGATTCATCAGAGAAGAAAAGCAGGGGCATTCTTAGATAGACGTTTAACATTTGGGGTGAACTGGTTGCCTTGATTTCTGGCCTCCCCGTTCCTAAGATTTCTTGTCAATTTCCTGAAAGAAGAATCAGTTTTAGTAACTGGGTGACAGATGTGCATGTTCTACTCGGTTCTGATTTTCCCAAGCAGAGGTCCTCTCTGTTGGGTCACCGTTCTCGTCATTCTCAATAGGTTATGGCTGTAAAATGGCATCTGGGTGACCTCAGAGGCTGCGGAAGGCAGACAGGACAAAGTTGCAAGAATTCTGTTGACGCCTGAGAAAAACACCGAAACTTTTAATTGGTCAGCAAGCAGGATTTCAGCTCGAAGATCTGCTTTGTCTTCCCTCTTTTTCTGACTTTCAACATTGCTTGGAATATCGGAGAAATCGAACGTCGAGTTACGGGCAATGAGTCTCTAGGGAAAAGAGCTTTTAAAAAGATTAGATAGATTTGTGGAAAGGGAAGACTAGCGCCGGTTATTAATCACCATAGCATTTTACTTTGAAATGGGAAGAGGGGTGTAGGCATTGTGCTTCTCTATCTGTTTGGCCACTAAAAAAGAAGGCACTATATTAGACTTGATGGGCAAAAGGACACTTCTTAAATAAAACCGTAGATGGAATTATTACAGTAGTGGCCAAAATAGTGGAAACCTTTTGGGAAAAGTGTATTTTCTAAAACTACCATATTTTTCAGAGTATAAGATGCACCTTTTGCCCCCATAAAAGAGGGTGAAAATTTGGGTGCGTCTTATACACTGAATGTAGACCCACCCACTCACCGGCCCCAATCCTTTGGCCTCTGCCTCACAGCAATTTACCTCTTTGCAGCAAGCGGGGGAGGGGGCAGGGGGGGCTTGCGAGCCTTCAATAAGCTATAGCAACCCCTGCAGCCTGAAACAGCTGATGATCGGGAGAAATTGAAAGTGAAACTTACTGTTTGCTCCACTCAAATTGCAGGGAGACAGATTTTTTTTTCTTGTGCTAATCAGGCTGTTTTCCGCAAGGAGGTAAGTCAACCACTATAAATGCCTATAGAATGTTCAAATTATTAGACTTATTTTTGAAAGACTGCTTTATTATTATTCTAGACAATTTAACAAAATGAAGAAGCTTTTTAAAATAAATGCTTGATCTGAAGAGGCCCAGTGCTATTGTTTTAAAAAGTGCTATTCTTTTAAATAGCAGAGAATAACTATACTTCCAGAAAGATCATCAATTTTAACAACATCTGTACAAGTATAGTCTGAAATATAACACTACAAACAGTGTATATTTTCTATGCTGTTTGTTGCAAGGAGGCAAATTGCTGGGAGTCAGAGGCAGATATTTTCCCCTTGTTTTTCTCCCCAAAATCTAGGCGCGTCTTATACTTTGGAGCATCTTATACTCTGAAAAATATAGTAATAACACAACTTTTTTTTTGGAGTAGTACCATAAAATTATATATCAATGGAAAGATAATTTAAACAAGAATGTAATGCAATAACTTTTATGAAGGGTTTGCTGTTAGAATAGCAGTTATAAAGAAGAAAAGTGAAATGAGATATACAAAAATGATCACCATGTCAGTTAATACTTAGTTGGGTAACCTTTAGTATGAGTTACGGCCTTACAACATCCTCCAATGGAGTGAATAAAGTCTTTTAGTTCTGCAGCTGTTATAATGTGAAACCAAGATGGAATGGTGGCTTCTGTTAACTGGGTTTTATTGCTGGGTCACTTCTGACTAAGAAGTTTCTTTGGTCGGCTCCATAGATTTTCAATTGACTTAAGCAGATCTAGGCTATTCCCAGGCCATTCCAGCAGTGGATTATCTTGAAACTGGGGGAAAAAAAGTGGTGTTATTAGCCATCAAACCTCAAAAATAAACTTTCCCCAAAAGGTTTCCACGATTTTGGCCAGTAATGTAGATTAAGGCAAAATGTTATTTCTATCATGTTTCTAGATTGTAAATTGTAGCATAGGTAGTCTTCAACTTTACGACGGTAATTGAACCCGGAGTTATTCTGTGAGTCACTGCAGTCGTTAAGCAGTTCGCCATGTGGCCGTTCCCAATTTTATGACCTTTTTTGTGGTAGTTAAGCAGATCCATTTTTATCCAATGTGAGTTTTGGGAAACTGGAAAGTAAATGTTGGAAACGCACAAAATAAAAATAAAAATGAAAATTGTGGCCGCGTGACAGCCAGGTGCCACGAGTGGCTGTGAATATGAGCCAATTACCAGGCACCCAACATATGGTCACATGATTTCAAGGGGTGGGGAGGGGGTCTCCCAAACCTCAAAATTGGTCCCTTTCATAGAGTCCATCGTAACTTGAAGCAGTTGCTAGGCAACCGGTTGTTAAGGGAGGACTACCTGTATAACGTCAAAGGACTTATCTTGACATGCAGGCTGAGCTGAACCTATCATGGCATCTATGAGCTTTTAGTTTGAATGTCTGTAACTCCTTTTCATGTATTTGGAAGTCATCGGACACTCCCGAGGTCTCTGTCATTTCCCTGCCCTTGTTAACTGTTTTGAACATTGTTTTGTGAATTTTTGCATCGGCCTAATAAAGGTATTGCCCTGACAGGGGGTACATCTAATCCTCCCAACATTTTTCTCCCAAAGCAAAGCTGGTGAATGTTCAGTTTTTGGAGCAAGGCGAGCATCAAAACTAACATTTGTTCCCCATCACTTCCTTCCCTCTTTATCCAAAACCAATTTGAATGTTTCCTGACTTTCTGCTGCCCCCTAGTGGACATACATGAACACAACTGGATGCTTTAGAACAGGCCTGTCAAACTTGCAACCCGGGTGCATCATGCGCTGGCCACGCCCACACCCATTTAGCAAAAGGGGGGGAGGGAGTCCCGATATGTCATGTGACGCTGCCATGACGATGCGAGTTTGACACCCCTGCTTTAGAGCAAAAGGGTCTCCAAACTTTAGGGGCCCAAAGTTGCACCATTCATCTTCACTCGCCCCGAGGTCTTAATATTTGATTATGTTTCTAATGGCCAGTTAAACCTTCAGTGCTGTATTTTATTTGCCCATCAAAGTCTCTGCTGCTTTATTTTTTATTTATTTATTTATTTAAAACTTTTATATGCCGCCCAATCCCAAAGGACTCCGGGCGGCTTACAAACAGAATATAAAAAAGAAAAAAAACAGTACAATTTAAAACAACAATCATCCATCATAAATTCATTCTAGTCGGGGCTGGACCTGAGGTCAACAGCCCCAGGCCTGCCGGAACAGCCAAGTTTTTACGGCTTTCCTGAAGGCCATCAGAGTGGGTATGGTCC